GTTGACTTCAATATTTTGAATGTATATATAACTTATATTATCCATTATAACTTGTACTATCCTAAAAATTCAAGAATACTAAATAAAATACACGCTTCACATCAAAACATAAAATCATCATACAAAACGTTTGTGATACAGATAATAATAAAGTAATAATATTGGTTTATGATTTGTCAATCGATACAAATAAATAATGATAATATTGAAAATGTTGGCACAAATAATCTTATCAGCATGTTTCCATGACTGACTCCCACGGTTGTAGATAATAATATTATTATATACAACCGTGTAAATAAGCATGTAATATGAGGGTTAACCAACCAATATTTTAAATATATAGGTTGAGTAAGAACTCGCAGGGGAAGCAACCTCCCCCTTGTAGTACCGCATATGCTGGACACCAAAATCATAACTATGGAAAACCGATTTTTTCCGGAAATTGTAGAAATTTCAACATCTGTTTGAAGAAAGTAAGTTTTCTTATAATTTTGTAATTGGTGTAAACGTTTTTTTATAAGTGTTTTTTATCGGAGAATAAACGTAAAGGTGGTTCGCAAAAAGTTAGGGAAAACATAACAAACACTTTTATCTAAATCTATTTAAAAAAGATGGCTGATGAGATGACATCAGATCAACCTATACTTGATGTTGAAGAAAAATTTACAGTTGAAGTTCACAATATAATTTTTGACAAAATAATATCTTACATGGAAGTAAGGTTCTCCTCCTAAAAAAAAAAAACTGCTCTGTGATTTAGCATGTTTGTTACTAAATAACTTTAAAGATTTACTTGATACAGAATTACCATCTAATACACTACTTGAGTTGTCCAAAGTCCTAAAAAAATTTGATGACAAGTTGACCCATGCTAAATAGTTAGATGAGTTGTTAAATTTTTCATCATCATGGGATCAGTTAAAAAGGACTGTACTTGAATACTATAAAAAAAATATTAAAGATGAAATTAAAGAAGAAATAAGTGATAAAAATGGCTCAAATGTTAAAGAAGTACACTGTAAGTCTTGCATGAATTGTCCTCACTATAGTTATAATGCACATTTGAAGTATAATTTGTACAGTAATGTATACCATTTTTTGTTTTTTGCTCATAAGTATCTGCATACTCTTCCATGTACACAGGTTATACTTTTCAAATTTTATAATTCTTATTTTAGTACTTAATTATATAATACATTTTGATTATTTATTTTGATTTACTAGGTAGCGTGTGAAAGGCCATTCTCCAAACTAAAGATAACTAAAACACGAGTAAGAAATTCATTGTGAGAAGAAAAGCTAGACGCATTTATGCTTATGAATGTGGAAAAAAGTATATTACATAGTATAGACTCAGAAGAACTTATTGATATTATAAAAAATAGTAATGATTTCTTAAATAAAAACAGTCATATTAAGTTTTAAACTTCCAAGCTTGTTCTACTTCATTCAATTTTGTAATTTGTATAATATACTGCAATCTATTACAATTTGTTATAATATTTTATGTCAAATAACATATATATACTTGAATATATACAATTAACTTTTTATAACTTTCTTAAATCCTATTTTTCAATTTTTTCTAAATGTTTGTCAAGTATTGATTTCAAGCATTAATTTAAGGATTTGAATATTGACACTGCTGATAATAAATTTTATGAAATTATTAACCATTTTATTGAATTGTTTGTTTCTAAAAGCAAAATATTTGACAACCAGTGTTCCTTTTGGTTTAATGCGAATTTATGTAAACTTGTAAAATTAAAAAAATTGGCTCATAAAAAGTTCAAAATGAGTGCTCTGCAATCTGATTATCTTGAGTTTTCCAAACTACGTAAAGAATGTAAGATTATGTCAATGCATTGTAGCTCAAATTTTATTCTTAATTTAGAAAATAAAATACTACTAGATGTAAAGCCATTTTGGAAATACATTAAACAGCTAAAATCTAATAAATCTTCTATTCCCGAAAATATATTTTACAGTAATATTATGGCCAGTAGCTATGAAGAGTCTGTTCAATTATTTGCTCAATATTTCTCAAGCGTATATTCAACGTCTGATACACTTAGTAATGTATTTACAAATTATGACGCTGATAATATTATTTCTAATTTAAATATATCCTCTTGGTATATAAGTGAGAATGAAATTTTTGAAGCTTTAAGCTCACTGAATGTTTTAAATAGTGCGGGTCCTGACGAAATACCACCGAATATTTTAATCGAATGCAAAAATGTTCTTACTGAATTATTACATAATCTTTTTAACTTATCCTTATCATCTGGCTCTTTTCCAACTGTTTGGAAAAAGTTATTTGTGATCTCTATTTTTAAAAATGGCGATAAATGTAATGTTATTAACTATAGACCAATTTCTAAATTATCCTTAATACCCAAGCTGTTTGAGTCTCTAATTACAAAAAATTATCTAATTTACTATCTAATTACATTTGTCCTATCCAACATGGATTTCAGCTTAAAAAATCTGTGTTTACGAATTTGTTGACTTACCATACCGATTTAATTAAATCCGTTGAAAATGGCGTACAAATTGATTCAGTTTACACAGATTTTAGTAAAGCCTTCGATAAAGTAAACCATTATTTACTAATAATTAAGTTACAAAATTTTGGTTTTCATGGTAATTTTCTTAATTGGTTGACATCCTACCTAACGGATAGATGTCAGTTAGTTAAGTTGCCTAATTCATTATCTTAAGTTATTTTTGTAAGTTCCGAAGTACCCCAGGGCTCCCACATAAGGCCATTACTATTTAATTTGTTTATAAACGATTTACCATCTGTTCTTGATTCTTCAATCAATGTGTTGATGTTTGCCGATGACACTACATTTTATTCTACTATTAAAAACCAAGATGATGCACTTAATCTTCAAGCAAATTTAAATAAGTTTAGTTTTTGGTGTGAACAAAATAAATTACCAATTAATATTGATAAATGCAATGCTATCTCTTTCACTAAAAAAAAATATTCTATAATTTTTAACAATCAAATTAATAATATTAATATTAACAGAGTTGATCGGTTAAAGATTTGAGTGTTCTCTTTAATAATAATTTATCTTTCTCTATTAATACAAATATGGTTATAAATAAATGTTTTAAAATGCTGGGTTTTATTTTACGAAATACTAGGGAATTTAAAAATGTATTTAATTAAAGATTAGGACATATAATTAGGCATATAACCTATATATATATATATATATATATATATATATATACATTAAAAATAATTGTATGATTTAAGTAAATAATAAATAAGAAATGTTAAATAATTTATTTAATCCAACTAAAATTATTATTAATTTTTAATTTTACTACATTTTCACTAAATTGTTTGTATTTATGGTGTTTTGGGCAGGTGAAACGAAATTCTCCCGACTTGGTTAAAATTCAAAATTCACCACTGGGCTATCAGTCATAAATATTGAAAAACAGTTATCAATAATAAATGACAATACAGAAATAATTGATACATTTTCTGAAAGGGACAGTACAATAATATCAAGATAAATATAAATATAATATAATATAGTAATTTTAAGTTTAATATAATATATAATATTATCATATACTTATCTACTTACGTGTCTAAATTAGTTTGTATAATACAAAAAAAGTGTTATATGAACTGTAGATTATTTATGTTTAATGTGTGGGGCGAAGCCCCCCGATTAGTGACGTGGTGATGTGGGTAATCGAGAGACGGCCGAATTCAGTTTTTTGGTGGGTGGGTCAGGGCATAGGCGGACATCGAAGGGGGGCTTACCCCAAAACATATTTTAACAATCCCCCAAAATCTAAACTTTGTTAGAAATATTATTCGTTGTTTTTATAATTATCTGTTCGTTTTTTTGAAAATCGTAAAATAAGAAATAATAAAAAACTATTTACATTAGCATTAACAATACCAATATGTTCGACTATTTGCGAAAGAAGTTTCAGTGCAATGATAAAAATGAAAACTTGACTAAGGACATCGTTGGTTCAATAAAGGTTCAGCGATCTTTCAATACTATATATTGAAAAATATAAAAATCGATGATATTTGGAATATCGTTGCTGAAAATTTTCGAGTTCACCACGCCACTGCCCCCGATCTACATTGATTTTGAAAATTTTAACCCCTTAAAATTTTAATGGATTTCTGCCTATGTGTGTTTTTATTGAGTGTATCAAATACATTAGCTCTTAATCGAATAGACTCCGAACTTACTAATTAAAAATGTAGGTATTCACTTATTTCTGATAAATGTGTAAAATAGTATTTAAAATACTATCAAGAATAAACATAATTCGTTTTAATTTTCAAGAATTACATAGGAATCTGTTGTCAATTACAATGTGTTCTGTATTGAACAAATATATTTCATATAGAAAATACTCATTTTATGTGAAATAATAAATCAAGTTTGTTTCCAATTTAGAAATTATAAACTCAGATATCACCATATACTAATAATTTGTTCAGGAAATTTTTTTTTTTTTTTTTTGATGCATAAATTAGTCCTTTGTATGCACATTTTAAATGCCCACTATATATGTCTTTCTAAATTGAAAATAAAATTTATTCAGCATCAAACAGCACCAAAAATGTTACACAAATATACACATGTATGTATATTGTACACAGAGTATAATTTAGGGATGATTGGTTTGAGTTTCAAACCTGTTTTCAATGATCGCTTGTTTTTACGATTTATTATATGGTCACTCCTGCAGGAACGGTACATCAGTGATCGATTTGGTTAATCGTTACGGCTTCTAATAATAATATACGTGCCCCCAATGGCCCAGTGATTATAAAACGATAATCACATGTACTCGCATCGGCGGTGCTCGTAATTCTCTTGCGACTGTCATTACTCGATAGCAATACGGTAGATAGCGCTAGCCCGTCGACAGAACGTTGGCGTTGTTCTCCACCCGGTAGACTAGACGCGATCGGATGCACGCACGCCCGACGACGCGACGAACTCCGTACACGCCTCGGCACCAGCAACAGGTCGTCGTTCTCTCGTCATCAGACGCGACCGGCGAACGCTTCAGTCCCCACGTTGTGTCCCGAGTGCGTGTGCGTACGTATGTGTGTGTGCATGTTATAAACATATTGCTGCATTTCGACAGTTGAACACGAAAACGCCGTACCGGAAAATGTGAAACAATATTGTTCCGCGAGTTCACATTCAGTTCTGTGCGCTTTCTCGATCGATACAACCCAAGTTTATCTTCATCGTTGTATTTTTACTACATAACCGTACGGTATTGTTAAGCTGTAATTTTATTTTTATTTTCGGGACATTTTTGCGATTTCAGTCGACTACCGCTGTGTAAAGAGTGCGACGAAAAAAATAAAAAAAAAATTAAATATAGTAAAATTTTTAAAACGTACGCGCACCAGAGGACATGAACATGTCTTGTCAAGACATGGACGCGTTGGGGGTGTACTTAGAGTTCCCGTCAAAATTCGACTCGTTCCTGAACGACGACATGAAAGGTCTTTGGGATTCCGTCGACTCAGATCTGGATCAGGTAATTTGTTTTTTATTTTAATTGTCCAACAATTTATCGACGTATATTATAGGCCTTACGTGACTTGCATGCTCAGTCTCCGATTTTACTTCTCCATATGATTTCTTAGTGTGTTTTTAGTTTAAATACAAGTATATTTATTTTACATCATTGATCAATAGATTTTCGTGCAAAATTTAATGTACATACTGTAACACTGTCTTGTTACAAATAACAGGAAGTTAAAAATCTGCTGATAGTGCGTGCTGATGACTGACCAAATAACAAAATAAAAAAAATTAAATAGTCATCGAATACCTACGTATTATTTTGCAAAAGTGAATCGGCCACATCGCGTTCATAGTCGATATTGTTTTATTTTGAGTAAACGGTACCATGTAATAGTAAGCCTTAAGTATGGCTATAAATATAATACATATGATACTTCACGTTTCAAAATATTACGAGCATGATGAACGTCAAGTAAAAATTCCCTTTCGTGAACTCTCGAGAAATATTTTTTAGATATATTTTACCGGTATTATTTTTTTTTTTATGTGATGTATGTTAATATAATTTTCTGACTGGGTGTAGGTCGTAGGATGTAATATATGTCTAATGGGAGAGAGAAGTCTGTCTTATGTACTAATATACATGGATAAATACGTGTAACGGAGTAATTTACATAATATAACTAAAATAATAAAAATCTAATCAATATAGGTAACTACCTAGTTACCTATATTGATTAGATTTTATATGTGTCAGTTATATACAATCTAATAGTCACTATAAATGTATTCGATATGTTTGAACGTCGAACTAAATTAATCTTTCTATTATCTTAGCTTCACAATTAAATTTCATTTAACATAGAAATTATTTTAGCAATTATTATGTCAAATATATTTGAATACATTTTTCAACCGGGCGTGTGCCACAGTGAAAACCAGTTTTAGATAGATTAAAAATATTTTACCGCGTTGCACGTACCGATGGGAAAAAGTTTCCTATTTATTTTTTAAATTAATATTTGATTTATGTTCGTTATTCGCATTTCCTATATTACAAAATAATTAATTAATATTAAAGCCAATAATTTGTATAATATAATAATATATATATTCATATAAATACGTCTTATCTCAAGCACTAATTTCATGATAAGTTGTGGCCTTGAGTCAGCATAGGATTTTCTGTTAAATTATACTACTTAAGACTTACCGCATGTAAGTGCCGCGTACTCCATAGAAGATTACATTTAAAAGCTTGACCATTCTTTCACCTACACTTTCATAGATCAAATTAATCAACGGTGAATAAAAACGATGTTCATGAACAATTAAAGAAAGAAAAAAGTGGCATGTTTTTATTTATATTTTCATTATATCCTTTTACGCGGTTATCTTAATTACACGAATACTTTATGGCTTATGTTATACAAATTGTATACTGCCAAAGTACTGGAATTCAAATAGGAACATATTTTGAAATCTTTTAGATATTCTTTGTGAAAGTATATGTTTTCAAACATCTTGTGTGTATTATGTCGACCCAACGGCCTTTGTAACTGATATAAATATTTAGATGTATATATGTACCTATTATCTATTAAATTATAATTTATTTTTTTTAGTTTCATATTGTGTTCATCGGAAATTATACTACTTCGCGTATCACGTGCACTGTAATATATTGAATAGTAAATTTGTAATTTACACAATATTAATAGGTTATAATAATAATAATAATATTATACCGGTAATGTACCATTCGGACTATATATATTAATATACGATAATTAAACCATAACGTCATTAAATATACGGGCATTTTTAAATAATGGTCCGATGCCGTACGTGCGTGGGGCCATGCGCTTTTATCTATTAAACAGTTTTAATCGTAATTGATAAAAAAAAATAAAAAAAGAAGTCCATGGGGGAGCCCTTATCATATAGAAATTGAGTTTTTACAATATATCTAATACATTTATTGTCGTCGATGAGGGCACTTTCTATCCGGGCCGTTTTATTGCATTTACTCCCCGCGATTTGTCAAGTCTTACTTATTATTATATTATGTATTTAGCAATTATGGACGTAGGGTGAGCTAACCATTGATTTCTGATTCTCACATAGTAATGTCTTTAACCTATATTATATTGCATTGTCCTCCCATGCACTGTTTACATAATCTTAATGTGTTCCACAAACAGTGCCAACCAGTGACTTTTGTTGCCCGTAATGTGTATTAATAGTCTACGTGGTAACAGTGTTAGACATTATATAGTCGCATGGTGCGATGTTTACGTTCTTACGGGCTCTTAATAAAATCAGGTTGATTAATCGATTTGAAATAGTGATTCTTCGAATTCTAGACATAATATATTCATTAGCAACGAGTTAAAACGCGATTACCACACTGGTATGGATATTACTCATTGCGCGGCTTCCAATGAAGTACAAATATTTTTCTAACAAATAACCATACAGATACCCGACGAGTCCAACAATGGTATCTATAGATTTGCGTATAAGTGTCCGTCTATGTACGCGTTGTACACAGAATTCTTTATTATTTTTTTTTCTTTTGTTCCGATTGTCTCTTTTTTTTCCGTTTTTGTTTTTGTGAAATCACATTTTGATTACAATACACAATGCATAATGCGGGTCAACATTATGTGCATTGGAAAAACTGCGAGCGATCTTGCATTTTAACCATGGCCGCCTGCACCCGTTACCTGTTGCCACCAGTTGCCGTCTACGTCGTTCCGTAATCGCATGCACTTTCCCTTTTTTCCAGCCGTTTCATATTACAGTCGATGACTTGCTGAATTGATCGAATTACCAATTTCCGGTAAACGTACGCCAACACATTTTTTATCTGCAAACTAAAAATGTATTTTAATTTAATTATTATTTCGTTATATTTATTATTATCTTTCATTTTCTATAGTATTTGATTGACAAAAATCGGATTGTTTTTGATGATGGTAATAGGAAAACCAAAGATGTATATATTCCTCTTTTATATCATCACGCATCATATGCAGTGACGCAACTACACACTATGGGACTGATATGCAAATCTGAATTTGAGGCCTAAATATTTTTCAAAAAAGTTTATTTACCTATTATAAATAAAATATGTTAACCGGTGTTTATATTATGGAAGGTAGTGGATTTTTAATTTTAAATAACTTGCATTAATGTAGAACAGCATTATTTTCTGCTATTTCTGTTCTAAGAATTAGTATTACCATAGGATTATAAATACTTCAGTAATATAATAGTATTTATAATCAATGGTATTGCATTTGGTCATTATAAGTATTTAATAATATGATAAATCTGTTTTTTATATTTATCAATTTACTTCAGTTAAAATGTCTACAACCAAATCCATAATAATATATCGTGTGGGGCTTATAACGGTTTGAGGGCTGATGTGCAATGCACACCTTGCACACCCGGTAGTTGCGGCACTAATCATATGAATTGTAAACACTTATTATTATGCTACTTGCAAAATATTTACTACATAATATTAACACATTCGCATAATTCCCATACATTCACGGTAAATTAGGATTTCTTGTTATCACGACCTAACCTACCATATTATCATTTAACCGTGAAATTATTATTGGAGATTTTTGTTTCCCGCAGATCGACGGCTTCAATAGCGGCACTTCTTACAATACAGTTGTAACTTTTAACTGTCGTTCAATATAATGTTACTTAAAAACAATTGATTTTCACTCTTTTTGGTTGCCCATATTTCGTATGAATCCAGCATGAAATTTATATTTTATTTTATGTATATACTATAACCATAACTATAGAAATACATAATTCCAAAAAAATATCATGTTTAAGCAAATCTAACATACCTACTATTATGACAATGGAAGTGATAAATTATCTACACTCGTGTTAAGGCTGCATAATGTACCTTTACGCCATGCGAACACGATTAATTACATTTATTATACATTTTTGTGGGTACTTATTGTCATTAAGTTATATTACAGCAAAATACACGCTTCAGTTACAATTTTTAAATTTTGTTCTTCTGGTAGATCTACTCTCTAAGAGTTTTTGCTTTCGTTTTTATGCATAATATTTTGGATGTAAAGAATTTTGTTATTGCGTAGAACACTTTTTAGGCTTTATTTATCCATATATTTATTTCCTTTGACCGGTCATTCTTTGGGCTTAACGTTGCTCCAAAGTAATTAGAATAGCTAACTTTTTCATACTTTAAGTCGTCCTCACTCTCAATGTGTTCTATTATTTTTGTTTTTCAATATTTATTTCAAGATCTATTTTTTTCGCTGCTTCTTCTAACACTTTGGTTACATTAAGTGTGTCTTCGAGTGAATCACCCAATATGTCTAAATCGTCAGCAAAAACGAGGAGCGAAGGATCTTTATTCTGATCAATTAGTAACCCACCTTTATTGTCCTGTAGTAACCTTACTACCTTCTCAAGAGCAAAATCAAAAAGTACTGTAGACAAAGCATCCCCCTGCTTCAGTCCGGTTTCCTCTGTAAAAGTTCTTGATGTTATATTTTGTGTTCTCACTCTGTATTTCGTATTTTCCGTACACATTTTAGTTAGTGCTATTCATTTTTTGGGAACAAATATAAACATATTTATTAATTGATGATGTGAATGATACAATCTTCGTGAATCTTACAAAATTGAGATGTAACGTTTTGTTTTTCTTAGAGTTGAAATACGAACTGAAAAAATAATGAGTGTATGTATGTATATTCATATTGAATAAATTATTTTTGTTTTTAAAGTTTACTAAATTCCGATAATTTCTTAGATTAACAAAATTTGTTAGTTAATTACAAATCGTCGTTTACGCTACACCTATTTTTCAACTCGGTAACCGGTTAGTTGGAATCGGATAAGAAGTTAACATTTATTTTGAGATTTGTCTGGATATAATAATACTAATAAAAAAAAAAAAAATAATCCTTATTTAGTGACACGTTCCAAATATCATAA